CATAAAGGAGCTCAGAGGGATGAATTTGAACTCATTTACACGCAAGGGTAGACCAAGCATCTTATTTTATAGCCTCCCTGATGATACCTGGCACTTTGACACTGTCCAAACATAAGCCCCATGTGATCACTTCTGGCACCTGCAGGACGCTGTGCGTGGGCCCACAAGTCTGGCTCAGTTCACATCTCGGGCCAGCAGGGTGAGGAAAGAGCCCTAAGAGTAAGGAGTTCCTACCACAGGCAGATGTGAGCAAGGACCCTCTTGGGGACCTGGAAGGTTCCTGATACCTGGTGGTTTCCCACCGGGTGAAATCACAGCAGGCCAGCCCGGTGTGGCTGGATGGACTTGGAGCAGGGCTAGCACCTCTTGCTTGCCTGCAAGGAACCTTCATTCCTCTGCCTGAGCTCCTGAGGTCCTGGTTTGCTCCAGATGGAAACCATAATACTCTCATTTGACCGGACTGGAGGCAAGAGCAGTAACTCCAGGAGAAGAGAGAGGATGACAGTCCCCAGGAGTGCAGGTGCTCTCCCACAGGAGGCACCTCATCCCCACAGGCCGCCAGATACAGAAACGTACTGAAACAAGGGCGCTGCTTTGCGGGAAGGAGGGATTTCCATCTGCACTTGGTCTCTGTGCCTTCCTGACTCCGGCAGCCCCGAAATGCTGTTCCCTGCGGGAGCCTCAGCCTTCCCGGGAGCTCCGGGAGAGCCGCGGCCGCGCTGGTGGACAGGCAATAGAAACAGCACCATCTACTGACACTGCGGGTGTGCGGCCGGGAGTCAGCGGGGTTATTGGGGCCGGGACACGCGAAATGCCATCGCATCCCACATCCTTCACATTCTGGGACGAGAGGGAGGGAGCACAAATGTTACAGTGCATTTACACCCACTGCCGAGCCTCGACAACATGCACTAGTGTGGCTCCCTGCTAGAGAGAGAACGGGAATCCCATTTGCAAGCCTACTGCTTTCTCTGCACGTGATCTCCCGCCAGCAGATCGGCATTTTCTTAGATTTGTCTGTGATTTAAAAATATCTCCACAGTCTCTGTGTGTTGGCTCCTTGGAACAGTTACCAACCTGAGGAGCAAATGAGGGTCCTGCTTTCCTAAGTAACTGGGCAAACAGCAAACCAGGAGGGCAGACCTGGCTCCCAAAAGCCATCAGTCAGTGCCCGCTGCAGTCGGCTCATGTGCGAAACTCTGTGTGTAAGCGATTCCTATGGACATGCAGGTGGATTTGCTCCATGTTCCTTGCTGCATTAAATAATGAAGGACTTCATCTGACCTACAGTTTAGACTCCTGTGTCATGCCTGATGACAGTGACTTGGTTTGCAGAACACTTTTGTTTGGTGCAGCGTGATGACAGAGGATTTAGTTCTGGACCAGGTAGCACAGCTGCATCCGTATGTGCCCGCCAGCAGCAAGCCAAGCCAGTGCTCCCACTGCCAGAGCTCTGGATGCTCACTCAAGTGACACACAAGAGCCCATACACAATAGATTTTTCATTTCAACAACGTGCAGGCACTTATATTTTAATGGCACAAAATTAATTTGAAAGGGTTTTTTCCAGTATCCATACTCTCCATGACAGCTCTGCCTTCTCTATAACACATAAAATATCCTCTACCTGTGAAGAACCAGGCAGGAAGGCTGCATTTCTACCTCCCAAGGTCCCATGGCTTGTGCTGTGTGGCATACTCTGCCCTATTCAAAAGAAAACCAGCAGCAGCTCTCAGGAAAGGCTGAGAGAACAGCTTGGCAGCTTTGTGCTGAGCCCTGGCGCTCACAAAGCCGCGGTCACACAGCCAGACCTCTCCTCTGGGAACAACACTTGCCTCTGCACAGTCTCCTCCCTGTGAAATTTGTATTTCCAGCATTTCCTTGTTCCCTGAGCACACCTGTTCACCGGGAGGAATGTCTAGTTGCACTCCTTGAAATGAAATGCTCCGAGCAGTGGGTGATGTTGGGTGCGGGTTTGTGAATGCTGGCTCCTGCTGTGCTCTTTGGACACAGGTGCCAAAACAGATGGAGAAGGGCTGCTCACACCGGGCAGGGGAAAGAGCAGCCATGTATCCTGACAATCACAGCCCTGGCTGCTGAGGAAGACAGCAGCCATCCCCATTTTTCATGCAGCTTCTTCACCACCACCTCCCTCTCATCTTGCTTTCTCACAGCTCCTCTCTAGCGTGAAGTCACAGAGGAGAGGTGAGAAATAAGCACCAGTGCTGGTGGATCCTCATTGCTTCTCTCCTTCATGCACATGGCCTGAAGTTTCCCATGGCAGCTCCTGGTGACCACAGCCAGGAGAATCCCTGTGTTCCAAGGACAACAGAAAGCATGATACAGAATCACAGAACAATCTGGGTTGGAAGGGACCTTAAAGATCATTCCACTCCCCTGCCATGGGGAGGGACACCTTCCACAAGAACAGGTTGTTCAGAGCTCCATCCAACCCGGCCTTGAACACTTCCAGGGATGGGACATCCACAGCTTCTGACACAACCTGTGCCAGGGCCTCGCCACCCTCACAGTAAAGAATTTCTTCCTAATATCTAATCTAAAGCGACCCTCTGTCAGTTCAAAGCCATTCCCCCTTGTCCTATCACTCCATACCCTTGTAAAAAGTCTCTCTCCAGCCTTTTTGTAGCCCCTTTAGGCACTGGAAGGCCGACCCCTCATCACACTGTCAGGGCTGAAGTGCCCAGCTGATACAGTCCCAAAGTCAACTGATCTATCATTAGAGATCAGTCTCACTAATGTGGGGAAAAAAAACCCCTAAGATTGTTTTAAACCCTCCTGGTAGAAAACAGCCTTTCCCAAAAAAGAGTGGTTTTGACAGAGGTGATTGTTCTCTGGATCTCCCTCCCGCCTGCATCCCGCCCTCTGTGGCACCCCTTCCTGCTGCCACCTCTGGATTCCAGGGAGAGGAGGAACAACCCGTCCCTCTCTGCACAGAGGCACTGAGGGACGTTGTGCCAGAGAATGACAGTGAGGAATCGCTCAACCTTTGCCAGTTTGTGTTGAGAGAAGGGTTGGCCACAGCTCTTCTCAGCCATGTCCCCAGTGCTCGGGGTTCTACTGCGAATTTCAGAGGGCAGCTGGTGTTTTCCTCCAAGACCCATTGGATGAGCTGCTCCTGCTTTTCCTCTCACTCACATTTTTTCCTCTAGTCTCAGTGTGATTTGGAGGTACTTTAACAACTCGGAAACCGAAAGCCAGAGAAAAACTTCCCCAAATCCAGGGTTATTTTTGAGTAATTCCACCGCTTTGTGGGCAGTCTCCGAGCTGACACATGCCTGCTAACAGCACTGGAGATCCTGCTCCAAGGGCTGGAGACCAGCTTTGATTCTTTCCATTCATGATCTTTAAGAGCTTCACTCTGCAGCTGCCACATCTCTTGCAAGCACAAACCCTGACACTCAGCATTCAGCACTGCTTTATTTACGGGAGGGTTGTTGGGTTGTTCTTGCTCTTCCCCATCTCCCTCACTTAGTAATTCCTTGGTGATTTTATGTCCAGTTTTACCTCCTGCAAACCTCGGTGTCCCTGTCGTATTTGCCCTGCCACTGGTGCTGCTGTCAGTGCCAAATATTTCAAACTGTCAGGACATCATTGCACCAAAATTCCTCGAAGCCACTGGTAGCCTGAAGGTGAGGCATTTAACCCTCCTGCACTGGGGTTAACGACTCTGATGGCCCCTGCTTTAGCTTATTAGTGGTGGCCAGTCCCTGCTGGTGGCAGCGTGGGGACAGCTTTCCCAGGGGCCATCCTGGAGCAGCTCCACCTTCCAGCTCCTGGCTGAGAACAGGAGCTGCCATAACTTGCCTCACTCCAGATCCCTTAGGATTTTCCTGAAAATGTGATCTGTGTTGCATTTTTTCATACTTCTCAGTTCGTCCCTAGTAGGAGAAGGGGTGGGGTCAGGTCTGTTTTTAGCGTATTTTTCCTTTGGTTTTAAAGTTTATTTAAACTGACTCACATTTAATTGTCCTAAGGTAAACAGATGAATCACCCAGGGGGGGATACACCTCCAAAGGTCAGGGTTTAAAGCAAGTTTTTTTACTTTCTTTCTTTTCCTTGGGCTTAAAAAAGGAAAACTGAGTTGGTTGGAAAATAAAACTATTTTATTTGGGAGTTTCGCAGACAGTGACTCAGATTTTTTAGTTTCCTGAACTTTTTACTTTTATATAAGTAAGACTCTTGATAAACAGGTATTGGGCCCACACCTGTCATGGAAAGAGCAGCAGGAGTTCAGCACAGTGTGGTAACAGAAGCCCTCTTGTTCTGCCACTGGAATTAGCTGGTTGGCTACAGGGAGATTCTTGATAAGTCCCAATTTGAGCCCTTCAGACCCAATGTGCTTCAGGGCCCCTTTTTTTTCCTCCCCTTTTGGAAGATCATAATCACTCAATGAGAAAATACTATTAAAAAAAAAAAAAGGCAGCAGCAGAAGAAAGGAGCCGCAAGTTGAATTTTGCTTCTGGCAAATGTGGTCCCTTGAAATCCCTTGACAACTCGCTACTTGGATATTCCTCTCCTGTTAAACCCCATTCCCAGTAAAGGGCTGCTATTCCTATGTCTGCGTGGGATGTGACTCCAGCTCTGTGTTGATATGCTGACTGTGGAACTGCTACCTGGAGCGGGGTGAGGTTGTCAGAAAACAGGCTGTATGTTTGTATTTCCCGACATTTCCACCTGGATCTGGTTTTCGGGCTCGGAGCTACCCCAGGTGGTGCTAACAGCACCCGCATCCCCGCAAGAAACACCTTGCTCAGGTGAGTTTTGTTGCTGATCCCTTCTCTCCTGCCAGTGAGAGAGAGAAAAAGACACCAGTGAAGGGCCGTAGAGACAAGGCTGCAGAAATCACGCCACAGGAAGAGCGATGGAGGAAAGAGAGATTTGCTGTAAGTACAGACAGATTTCAGCTCCTTCTGCCTCATCATATCTTCTCCCTCCCCAAGCCAGGCAGCACTAGGACCATCACATAATCTGGTCAGAGATTTATAAGCAGAAGGGAAAAACTGAGGATTTCTGAGCCCCCACCTGGCCCCAGGGTGAGTGACAAGACTCTCCGGCTGTGCTCTCTAGATGGTGAGTCCATCATTCCCTGCTGGCCTGGGAGACATCTGCTTCCCTCTTGTTCTCCATCAACAGAGAGGTCCCCCAAGTTCCTCCCGTTTTGGGAGCTGAGGTGATTCATTCTGCCAGCACTGGATACAGCGGGGTTTTCCCACGAGTTCCTGATTTGCAAGAGCTTTGCACTTCCCTTTCTGTATAATATGGAGGGCAATGACATTTCCACTGAAATCCCCATGGTCATGCTTTGATCAGATGCATTTCTCCATGCAAAAGTGTAAGGAAATAGTCATTTTCCTGCTGCATTTCTCCTGATGTCTTTGAGGGTTCTGAAATTGGAAACAAGAGGACAAAAATTCCACATCTCTAAATCATCCAAAATATTTGCTCAGGTGGAAAGACACTCATCAGAAGTTTGCATAACCAACAATGCATTTCACTATTTTTTTTTCTTTTTAATTACCACCTTTTCTTTAGCTTGGGAGGAATAATTAAATGTGAACTGAGAGCTGAGATACTTTGTGAAAAATAAGCATATATGACAACAGTAATTTAAAAGGCAACTCCTGCTACATCATGGTGACATTCCATGAATGCCAGACAAAAAAAATTCATTCCTGCTTTTCACTGCCATTGGATTGCAGTGTAAGTCAATGGATAATATTCCAGCACTTTGTGTTCACAGGTGTGTTAGCAAAAGTTTTCCCCAGCTTGACTTAAACGTGATACAGTGAATTTGAAGGCCACCCAACTCAATCAATATTTGTCTGCTGAGTCTCTAAGCATCCACAAATAGTCCCTGTTGGAGGCAGGAGATTGGACCTTTGGGTGTGGTCCAGTATGACCATCCTTGTGCTCATTTGTCCCTCTGTGCTCACCCTGAATTCCTGGAGCACTTTCAACAATCTCATCCCAGAAAAGATGATTTTTAAAATTAAATTTATAAATGCAGAGATTAGGAATTCAGTTTAGGGGAACTAGGTTTGAAAATATGGTCTCCAAATCCTCGGGGATTCATTTATCCCCAGACTCTGCCTCAGGTTTGAGCAGCCCCAGGTGCCTACAGACAGTGAGAGGAGGAAAGTCACAGCCATAGTTGCTTGGAACGCTCTGCAGAGGTAAAGAGTATTTAGAACTGAGTCCATAAACCTCACTCTGACTGTACATGAAGCCCAGTTGCTGCTTCCCTGGGAAAAAAACCCCAACCATTCCCATATTTCATCCCCACGCCCTTCTGGGTTGCTCAAAGCAACCCCCAAAGCCGCCACATCTCGCACCTGGAAAGAAACTCGTGGTTCCAGACCCACTAAACATCCCCCACAAAATCTTCTCCTGTTTGGTTTGCCTTTGTTTGCTGTCCCAAACCATTTTAACCAGAACCATGGGAGGCCCCCATGGTTTTCCCTTCCTCCCACAGAAAGCCTCGCTCTTTGCAGAGACACCTTCTCCCTGTCATGGTGCCATTCCCTGCCTCCGGAGGAAGCGAAAACCTATGGCCGAGCTCTGGCAACATTGTGGAAACCAAAGGGATTTGATTTCCCTCGGGAACATGGGGTCTGTCTGTATTTACACTGAAGTTACTGGAGCCTCCATGGGCTTTCCCCTCATGCCCTCTCCCTCTTGCTCTCCCTCTTTCCTTGGGATGTATCCTTGGGAACACCGAACTGCTCTGTGTGTTTCTTTAGTTCTGCCTCTATTAGCAGCTTCCGTGTGCCCTTCCAGCGCCGAGCACGGAGCCCTGGCAGGGAGGAGATCAAACAAACACAGCTGCTGCCGTGTCCCTCCCGCCGGGAACAGCTCCCCACTCGCCCGCGCCCGGAGCCCAGGGCGGCTGGGGCGCAGGTGGAAGCGGGTGGCTTTGAGGTCGAGGTGTAAATACCCGTAATTAGACAGGAATTACATTTAATCCCCATGACGGGGTCTGGTGGGAAACAGGTGGGGCAGAGAGCTCAGAGATGCACACTGGAAAAAATCCTCCTGACTCGACTTGATCTGCAGCCCGTGGGAGCGCACGGAAAGAATCCCCCGGAGCTGGGATGGGCTCCGGCCCAGGGTTCTGGGCTAAAGCAAGGGGAGTGCAATAGGAAAAGCTGCATGCACAGGGTGGATTGGCAATTTTAGCAGCTTTCCCCTTGGCAGGGAGAGCTAAAGGAGAAGAGGGAGAGGAAATCAGAAAAGAAAGAAGAAGAAGAAGAATGACAATTCAAACCACAACTGGAAGGTGAAGGAAAAGAAGAGGAATGGGAATTCACATCTTCATTTCACAGATCCTCATAAGCTCTACTCTGACACACCTTGCAGGGAGCAACACAACAGCCTGGGCTGCCAGAAATAAATGTTACAGTTCTCACGTTCCGAGTTCTTCTCGCCCTTCAGGAGAGTTATTTCAGATGTTTCTTACAATCTGACCTTTGAGCTCCTTGGAAGATTTACTGAGTGCCTCAAATGCAGTGGGTTTTGCAAAGCTGATGTGCAGCATTAGCTATAGGAGAGTGTTCCAGTGATGTGCAAATAGGTCAAGGCAAAAACTGAACCACTAAGGTAACCAACCAGGAATGCAAACTGAATGGAGCCTTTTATACGAAGGTGAAGGGTTCAGTTTTTTCCAGAATTATGAAATATTGAAAAGCTTGTGTCAGAGCCCTCCTACTCAAAACCTTTTGATAAGCAGAGATGTTTTTAAAGCTCCCTAAGCTTCACTGCATTTGTCCTTGCACCTCTAAAAATGTTGGTCTTGGAAACTCACCTGTAACTACAAATACGTGGTTGGAAAACACAACTTTATCGTGACACACAAAACCTCCAGGAAATCTGGAATTTATGTTTGTGTCGTGTGGTTTCAGACTCCCCAATGTTATCACATCTACCTGGTTTTGGTGGGGGTTTCTTTGTACAAAGCAAATAATCTGTTTTGTGCTACCCTGTCCCTAATCTCCTGCCCTTGCATGTAAGTCTATCCACATTCCTCCTCTGGAGTACGTGGGGGCAGATCCTCAGCTCAGGTGTAAGTTTACTCAGTGCTTTTGATACCTACTGAAAATCTAAGTAACTCTCCTTACTGGATACTGAACAGCAGCCACAGAGATCCACACTCCCAGCTTTGCCTCAGCAATATTCCAGGCTGAGTTTACAATTTTTCTTTCCAAGATGACTCATACCTGTGAATTTATTCCTCATTTTTCATGACCAGAGTGCCATGTTTTTCACTTGAACACTCAGGCAAATCCTTCCTGGAAGTTTGTGTTGATGTTTTAAATCCCTTTGATTCTTCCATTCTGACACTTAACAGTTGCAATGATTCAATTAAGAAATCAAAGCAACACCCAGTGACCCAAACAACCCAAAATATACCACCAGCACCAGACAGTCAAAAGAAACAAAAAGGGATACATGGAGTAAAACACTTTTTTCCCCCCTCTCATTTCAAATGATTCAATAATGTCAAGGTGATGCCAAAAAACGGGAAAATGAAAGTCTAGTCAGAAGCAGTTCTGAACCAAGAAGGTTGAATAACTTGATGAATGTTTCTAACCAGTGCTCTGGGCTGTAGTGTTTTGTTGTCCCCATGGAAAGGGGGAACAAATTAAATCTGTATCTCACCCTCCTGCAACAGTTCCTTCGACTTGACAGATACCTGTCTCCAGTTATAAATGAACACCCTTTTGTGCTCTAGCAAGTGCCACTCAGTGGGAACATCTAAATCCCATCTAAAAGCTAATTTTGGACATATGTGGATAAATGTGCCGAGGTACCTCCATTTGATTCCACTTTAATGTTGATTTTTTTCTGCTAAGTAGGTCAGTGCCAGAGATGCCGAAGTCCTTCCCGGTTTGCAAAATATTCCCACCCATTTATGTCAGACCCTGCAGCACCTACATGTGGCCAGTGGCTCGCAGTGAATCAACCCCTGAGCACAAGCAAATGAACGCAGAGCCGGCCTGCAGGGTGAGACTCTGGGACGGCTCCCGCGTGACACAACATTCCTGTTCCAGCATCGCCGAGGGCTGGCAGGCCCAGCTGCTCCGCACCCTGAGCTGCTCTCTCTCCTGGCCAGGGTTGAATCCCACTGGAGAGGGATTTGCTGGGCGTCTGCCCCGCTGGGATGATGCTCCTCTGCAGGGAAACTCGCCCGGCCGGTGGCACGGATGCGAAAACAAGGAGTTGCTGAAAGGCACCACCACGGCATTACCACCACACAAAGAGCTGCAAATTTCCATGACCAGCCTTCTCATGGCTTTTAGTCACACCTTGAGCCAAGGAACGGAGACACATGTGATAATTAAAGCAAAAGGATCTTTTTGAACCTTTAAAAGATTTGAGTTTGGCTGAACTGGAATCTTAGACAAAGGTTCACATGGGTTTTTATTTCCCCCGAGCCAGTTTACCCGCCTTTCCTCTTCAGACAGGCTTAGATTTTAATCCTCAATACCTGTGAAGTTATTTATGCTAGTTTGTTTGTTTGTTTGTTTCCAATTAACTTTTAATTCATTTTTGGGTCTGAGCAGGATATTTATTTTTCAAAATGCTGGGTGTAACCATTTATATAAACAAATCTGCCTCACTCATTTTTCTCCTTTTGATGTTGATTTCCATTACTTTTAGCCCCATGTGGGGTGAGAGACTTTCCTACATGTCCTGGTAACTCCATTCTCAAATAGGTATCAGTGACCTCAATTCCCTCTTAACAACTGATTAATTGATCAGTCTGAAAAGCTTAGCCACACTTAGGTTAAAATAATTGCTTTTAAACCAGATGAAAACATCTGCAGAACATGACCACTTTCATCAATCTGTGCCCGTATTTTTCATTCATCAGGAAACCTAAATCTGCAATGTTTCAGCCCAAATGGCCCATTCAATCTAGCCCTCAAAAGAAGAGTACTTGGGGTTTGTGAGGTTTTCACCTATTTTTACTTTGCAGTTTTAATGAAACACCACCATTTTCTACAGGAGAATCACAACAGCAATGGCAATAACAACAAATACCTCATTTTCCAGCCTGCTGTGTTTTGTATATGACTTTAGAGTCCACTAAACATGGGCTAGAAACACAGAGAAAAAAAACATGAGCTCACTGCCTGTTGGAGTATCTCCATTATCTTATGCTGGGAATTTCCTCCAGTGATTCCATAACTGCACTACAAGTCCCTGACTGCAGGAAGGAACACAGTTGTTAAGACAGAAAAAAAAAGAAACCAAACCAGGCAAGTTGTTGTTTGGGTTTTTTTTAAATTCCCATAAATTCAGTCTCCCTGGTTCAGATTCTCCCTAATTTTTACACAAGAAAACACAGTCCCTCTGTAACCTCACACAAACTGCTCCACTGGCC